AGAGACTGACTTATCAACGGTGGTTAGATCTTCATGAGCAGGCTGAACTTTCTCTGGATTCCAGTCCAGATCTCCTTTTAAGAAAAAGGGCCTTAACCCAACTATTGTGTCTAACTATGATGTACTAAAACCAGCACAAAAAAGGAAAACGGAGAGAGGCCCGTGACTCCAAGGCTGAGGACTGGCCCATAGACTACTTCCCCGATCTCTTCCATGGGTCTTTCCATGAGCATGTTCCTAATGTGCCAGGAGCAAGGAAGGGACAAGGACAACATAAGGGTCAGGCCTACTGATAGGGAAATGTATGCCCAAGAGGAAAAGTGACTCATCCAGGAAGGACTGGCTATGCAATTTGTGGGACACGCTGCAAAATGAAAATGTGGGGCCTCCTGTAAAACAGCAAGAACCCCAGCGCCTTCCTGCTTTTCCCTGGGCTCTTTAGACTCGACWTGGTGTTTTTAATTTGCTTGTTAAAGCTCTAAGTTAAAATTTCAAGTTATTAGCATGACTCTTACCGCTCATCTTTATATTGTGCGATGCCAGTTTTAAGTGGAAATCTTGGAATATTTAACACCCGCTGGAGTAGCACGCTGTCTCCGGAGGGTGCCAGGGGCTGGCCAGAAGAGACATGCTAGACCCAGGAAGGTGGTCCTCTCAGGCATGGAGCTGGCGAATGGGGTCCATGAAGAGCCTTCCAGGGGGACTGCAGGCCCTCACAGGTGCTGAGCTAGTTTGGGCATGCATAGCATTTGAGCCCGGTTGCTGATTCTTTCCTGCCCATCTCTGGACCAACATGTTGTACCCCACACCTAGGGCAGGAGGTTGAACCTGGCATCTTCCCCTTTAACAAGACCCCTGCCCAACCCACCTCAGATGGGCAACCCACAGGGGCTCTGAGGACACACTGGCTCACTTCCATCTGGTCATCCTGTTGAATGTGCCATGACAGTGACAGCTAGGGTGGTGACAGCGGCCACAGTGCCTCACCCCAAGATCCCAGGGCTGTGCATGCCTGACTTGATCTTTCACCCTCTCTGTGCCTGTTGGAAACAGTTGCTGGGCAGGGGCAGAAGACAGAGGCTGAGCAGAACTGGGGCTTCAGGGAGCAGAAAAATGAGACACTGAGACCTGGACCCCAGAAGTGAGATTACAAAGACAAAATTGTTAGGAAGTTTTGGATGGGACTGCAGAACAATAACCCCCAAGCTCAGAAGGGGCCCCTCTGAGCCCGGGTCATGTGACTGCACTGATCACACAGCTGTGACACCAGTCCGACATCCAAGACCACACAGAAGCTCAGCATGTCAAGCCTCCTCATCTTCTGGAGGGGTCTGCACTCCAGAGGCTGCTGTGGGGATCCTTGCTCCCCACTGGGTCAGGAACTTCCCCTTTTTCTTCTACCATGGATGCCGGGGAGCTGGCAGAGACTACCTTCCTGGGAGTCTTTCCAGTCTAGCTTTCCCTTTTGTGGGAGGGGAAACTGGCCCAGAGCAGGGTGTGACCTGCAGAGGCCACAGGTCAGAGACCTGGGACCTGAGGCTGACTTGTTATGGCAAAGACCAAGGCCTCAYGAGACTCCCTGCCAAGCTAGTCCTGGGTGAAGTCATCTTCAGCCACAACCACCAGGGGCCGAGAGTCTTCTCAGGGCTCCCCTGAGCATCCGTGGCTCGGAGTCTCTGGGAGTCCCCAGGGCCTCAGTGTCGGGGTGGGGGGTGTTTATTACTTAATCATTTCTCACAGCGTCTCCTGGGGGAGTAGAGAGCTAGCGATGGTGGCTGAGACGATATCACAAGAAAGTGCAGCAGAGATGCTTTCCCAGGATGATCCTGGGAGCTCACCTAGGAGAGACCCAGGGCATCCCTTGCTCCCTCAAGGACTTGACATTCAGGGGGAAAGGAGCCACCGCGGACAGGACAGGGATGGAACTGAGCTTCCCCGTGGCTGTTGGGAACTTCAGCACCAGGGGTGCAGAAGCCAGCACTACCCAGGCCACCAGCCCTGTGGCCCGTGTCAGCCTGAGCAGGCTGGGTGCCCTGACCTGGGGTTGCTGGGAGGGTGGGTGCGGGAGGGAAGAAGCTTCCTGGAGCTGAAGGCCCAGGGTCCACTGGGGGCTGAGTCACCGATTTGCTGAGAGGTCTTTGGCAAGCCTTGTCCCCTCCCTGAGCCCCATTTTTCTATCTGAAAACAAGTAAGTTGACCAACATGACCCCTGGTGCCTGCCTGCGCAGGGTTCTGTGAATCTGCGCTCCTCCCACGTGAGAACTGTTGTCAGGGTGGCTGGAAAGACGGGGATCATTTCCCCATTTCACAACCCTGCTGCAGCCAGCCCCGTGGGCCTCATCTCTCACACTGGGGTTCACACAGGCCCAGCTGCATGGCTGGGATGCCCGGCTCCTCCCTGCTCCCATGCCACGTGCTCAGACATCAAAGTTTCTCTACCATCTCGGGGGAGGGTGTGTGTGGGACAAACCAGCCCCATGCCCAGATCTGGATTTGCCTTCAATTTCCCCTTTTGGTATGGGGACCAGGGAGGAGAAGAAGGAGAGAAAAGCCTTTGAAAATGTCTCTGGCTGCATTTCCTCCCCGCTCCCTCCCTGCTCGCTGCTCAGCATCCACCTTGCCGGCTGCGCCCCGCGCGACACTCCCGTGGTGCACCTCTTAGCCACTCGGCAACTTTTTTCCCTTTTATGATATTTTGGGCTTCTGATTGCCCGCCAAGTCGGACCTTTATCATTTAACAAGAAGGAGAAGGAAAAAAAAAAAAAAAGCCCTGTTTCTCAGCATCTCGTGGGCCAGTCCTGAGTGTGGGCCAGTGCTGATGAGAACCATGTACTCGCGGCCACCGTCACCGCCATCATCCCTATTCATATCCTCTTTTGCAAAGGCAGTCCTGGGAATTGCAAAGGGGAAGGGACACTGAGCACTGTGTCTGGAAAGGGCTCTGTATTGACCTCAGGGGCAGCTGTGGAGGGCAGCAGAAGCAGGGTCTCTCAACCTGATTTTGAGACCGAGAGTGACCTGTCCAAGATCAGAAAGCAAGTCAGGACGCCCGGAGTGAAAAGGCTTTCTGACTTCTGCACCCCAGTGCAGCGAGCCTCTGACTTCCTATTTAATTTCTTCGTTGTGTGTCCTTGGGGCCTGGAACATAGTAGATGCTCAGTAAATATTTATTGACTGGATGAATAAATCTGAATACACCTCTCCTCCACAAAGGGAAAGGTCTGATGATTTTGAAGTCTTATCAGGGACTGTGGTGAGCTCACCGAAGCCACCTGGTTCTCCTCACTCTAATGCCTTCCCCTTTTAGAAATGGAGAGGAAGTGGGAGCCAGGAGGGGTGGGGTGAATGAGAGGAGATGCAGAGAGYAGAGAGAGGCTCTGTTCACCAGGATGTCCCCTGTACCAAGACACTTGGGGGAACAGTGTGGGACAGTCTGTTCAGGGCATAAAAAAATCTGTTTGGGGCCTTTCCCAAATGCCAATTTGTGTAGCAGAGTGACCTTGGGCTTCTCACTTTCAGCAGCTGGGGCCAGACAAGGCTGGAACAGCTCAGTGGGCATGATGTGCAGGACCCAGGATTACCTGCCTATCTCCACTCTGACCTCCCTGCCTGCTCCCAACCCTGCTCCACAAGGACACTGTGGTGGGACCTGCCCAGGGGACCTCTGCTGCTTGGCAGAGCCCATTTTCTGAGCCTGTGGTTGTCCAAATGCAGCCCTGGGCACAGCACAGTCCTTAGATCAGGGGTACGTGGACCGGTAGTGCAAGGTCCCGGTGACCCTCCATTACCTAAGGCCGCTGAGACCCAGAAACCTCCAGGGAGCTCGTCCCAGGGAGCAAGGGTGCTTCTCCCAGAAACCACCAAGTGCTCCCTCAGGTGGTGGGTCCCCCCTTCCCCAAACTCATAATCAGCTCCCAAGGAAGGGTCAGACGTTTCACCCAAAGAAATCTGCAGCTGGTGGGATGGGAGCCGCCCAGGGAAAAATGAACCTGCATTTCTCTAGCATTAAAAGCCAGAAACCAAGCTGGGCGCAGTGGCGCAYGCCTGTGATCCCAGCAGCTTGGGGGACTGAGATGGGAGAGTTGTGAGTTCAAAGTYGGCCTCAGCAATGGCGAGGTACTAAGCAACTGTGTGAGACCCTGTCTTTAAAAAAAATACAAAATAGGGCTGGGGATGTGGCTCAGTGGTCGAGTGCCCCTGATTTCAATCCCCTGTACCAAAAATAAAAATAAAAACAAAAACAAAACAAAACAAAAAAACTGGAAACCAGAGGAATGGATCTTTAGGGGTGAGATTTCAGGTGTCACTGTGCTGGGGCCTGCTGACCTCAYGACTGTGTCTCTCAAGGGGCTAAGGCCTTGGTGACTTCCTGTGTCCAGAAGAGATGCAGAGAGGGCAGGGGACGGTTGGGTCAGTATTAGTTAGGGAATGGGGTGGCAGGATGCGGTCTCTGCTGGTCATTGGCCATGGCAGGYGCTTCTCCACTGAATTCAGCAACAGTCCCCCAGCCCCCCAGGTGATGGCTGCTACCACATGCTTGGCCCTCTTCCTCCTGATTKCGGAAGGCAGGGAAACTGACTGGGAATTGCAGCACGATAGGCCCAAGGGCTTAGTCCAAAGCTGAGTGCCCAGAAGGGCCCCTGGAAGTGTCAGCTGACCATGCCTCTGTGGCCTGGGTCCTTGGCAGAATCTTCTGGAGAGAAGCTGCAGCCGGAGGTTGTGTTCATTCTCAACTCCGTGGGGCCTCGTCATGAAAACACATTTCTAACTTGGGTACCTTTCCTGCCAAAATAAGTTAAAAACAAAAAAGTTGCGGCAATGAAGCCGTGCTGAGCCAGAGCAGGGCCTGGCCCCCCCACCCCCACCTTCCGGTGCTGTCCCCTCCTGAGCACACCTGCAGGGGGCGGGGAGGGGCGGGGCGGCTGGCTCCAGCAGTCCTGGCCCCAGGAAAAGCCCAGGCACCAGCCGATCAATACGGTTGCGGAGCCGCTGAGCTGTTATTCACGCCAAAGGGCCTTGTTTGGATGGAGGGAGGGAGGGGGCACGGGTTCACGGAATCAGAGTCCAGAGCTCTGCTTCCCGCATCTCCCCCTCTCGCTGGGCTGCCTTCGTTATTTATGTAGCAGGAGTAAGAGGCGATTCAGGAAGAGGAAGTGCTTTCCCCACAGCTCTCCAGGAGCTCCTGCAGCTGCAGACAGGGGTGGTGTGTGACCTGGGTGGGGACCCTGTCATTCCCCTTCTCTGGCTTCTTCTCAGGAAGGCACTGATGGGCTCAGGGAGCTACAAGGTGAGGCCTACCTGCCTGGGCCCCTCCCTCTGGGCTCTTCACTGGGATGAGCCAACAGCCACCTCCTACCTACCCCCTGGTGGTGAGGAGTCCCTTTGTCTTCACCTGTACACCATCTGGTCTCACCCCATTTGTCCTGCCATCTTGGTTTTGCTCTACCTGTCCTRGTAAACTGGCTCTGCAAAGTTCCCGTTGCCACTGACCTGAGAGGCTGGCAGCCTCTCAGCCCTCTGTGTCTTCCCGCAGCACTTCCCTGTCCATGTCACTGGGGCCTGCTCACCCCAGAGCCTTCCTGTCTTCTGGAAGAACGGCTTCTGCTAAAGTGTGGAGGTCCTCCTGAGGGAGGTGGGTCATCATGCGGTCAATGGGTCTGGACTAAAATGGAACTTCCTGGTGCAAGTCCACCATTTCTGTCTCTGTAGAGATCAGTGGGACTTAGAACTAGGCCTCGCCTGGCTGCTGCCTGCTGGGCTGGCCTAGGGCTCCTGCAGGACTCTCTGTCCTCAGGTGAGTGGTGCTGATGCTGCACTGAGCAGGAACACGCACCCCTCACGTAGTCACCTAAGGGTTCTGGGGATGGAGAGTGCGATCAGAAATAGGATGGGGAAAAGGCGTTCCCTGGACCAGAGCAGAGCAGTCTACCCTGAAGTGCCCATGGATCAGGCCTCTGCGACTGGCTCTGTGCTTGGTGTCAACTCATCGAAGCTAGCAGTTATGGCACGAAGAATTGCCCCTGCCTTCTGATTCGGAGACCGTGATGGAGCTTTGTCCCTTCTGGGCCCTCAAGCTCACAGCCCATGGAAGAGCCAATCAGTTCAGCAAGGGTGAGTCACAGAAAGGAAAAAGGGTGGAAGGTCAATCCCTGCAAAGTGCTGCTCCCATGCCTGTTAGGGAAGCAGTGTTTGTAATGAGCTCGGGTTGACTAGACAGAGGCGCCAGGACTCCCCACCACGGCCTCGCTGTGCGGGCCACGGAACACACACAAGTCCTCCTGTAAGACGGCTCTACTCGGTCTCACTGCAGGCCACAGTCCTCCAACCACACACTCAGCTAAAGGGGAAGGCAAGTGGCCCGCGGACTCACAGCAGTTCTTTTGAAACTGGCGCTGGCCACAACCAGCCAGCCGTCCTTGGTGCTGGACTTCCCCTCCAAGCACACGTTTCTCCCAAGAAAGCCACGCTGCTCCCAAGCACAGAGTGGCCCACTAGGCTAGCAGTGCACACCAAAGAGACAAGGAAATCATCGCTTGTAGTTAATTCCCAACTACGTAGACAAACCGCCATAAATATTTATGATGGGAAATTTCATTATTTAAAAATTCTGCTCTAAATTTCCAGCTAACTCCATGAAGAATGCCTGCTGACCAGGTTGCAAATTAAGAACAATTATTTTTCTCTTCTGCATTTAAATATAACTTACAGCTAAAGTCATTTAAAGGGGGTTAACATCAACCTTAATTAAATATTAAAGTGTGCCTGGACCTGCCGCTATTGTTGCCCCTTCGAATAAGATATAACCTATTTTTGACAAGTTTTCATCTTTCTCTGTGGAAGACGCTACATGAAACCAAATCAGTGGCAAAGAGGAGAGTAATGAATAATCTATTTCATATTCCAACAGTACCCAGAGCTCGGAGTGGAAAAATATTCAGTCAGATGATGGCAAGAGGCTGCTGAGGTACCACATGACACAGCTAATGTTTAAATAATAATAATAAAAAAAGCGATAAACAAATCATTAGCCCTTAACAGTTGTTTAATGCAATTTGTTAATGAACGTAATGTGGGGACTAATAATGAAAGAAAATAAAAACGTCTAAACAGGCGCCAAGTTGCTGGCGATGCGCAATTATTTCCTTGTCAAGTTTTTATGATTTAATGAGCCCCTCTGGGACTGACGGCTGTCAGTCAGTCGTGACTTTTTGACACCATTACAACTTCAAATACAGCAGCAGGCAGGCTGTTTTCCTCGGATTTGAAATACTGAAATGATCTGACAGTTTTAAAGAAAAGATGTGCAGGGGAAAAAAAAAAAAAAGGAGAGAGAGAGGGAGAGAAAGACAGTGGCTTTTCCTTTCTTTCTTCCCCCCCTCCCTTCTTCCCCGGGTTGGTAATCTCTGGTTGCTGTTTGGTAATGAAAACCCAATCACCGAGGTCATTATCTGATGAGGTTTTTGGAACAGGCAGCCTTTTTCCCCCTCTTTATTTCTTTACTTAATGATAACCCTCAATGGGCCTGCCCCGCATGGGACGGCCAGAGCCGCACAATTTTGTTCACCATTAATTTCAGCCTTTGAAGCTCAGGGCTCAGAAGCAGTAGCAAAGCAAACCCCCCACCAAGCTGGTTCCAAAATAAGACAATCCAGCCTGCCTGAAACAGAATAGCAAATGGCCTCCCAGCCCAGGCCCGGCCGCTGACGTCAGCCGGCTGCATTTGCAGGCTTTCGCCTTCAACACGGAACATTTAAAACTCTTTACAACTTAAGAGACTTTAATTAAATTGCTTTTGATTCTGGAGCAGGGTAGCATCCGCTTTATTTATTCTGCCAGGGAAACTGTTTAGTCTGCATGAATTTTATATGGCCAGGGCTTCCTTCTCTTCTTCCTCCTCCACGCCTTCATCTTCATCTCCCCTCCACCCTCCCGTCAAGCATCATTTTTAACAAAGGCTGTCAACTTTGGGAATATTCAACAATCGCAGTCTACATGTTAGGTGCCTAGAACCTTCCAYAGACCCAGGACCTGCTTCAAACGTGTGGACTGTCTTCCTTCCCCAGTGCAGCAGGAGGGAGGGCATGCACCTGGCCTCCCTTGGGACCCTTTGAGTCTCTCTTGCAGCATCCAGGAGGGCCAAGAGCGGGCACAAGGGACCTTCACCAGCTTCCTTACCAAGCGCTCCCTGGCCTGGTCTAGGTGGTTGCTCTGCAGGGGGTTTGGTGGAGCTGATAGGTCAAGGGTTCTCTGTTTATACCAATCCCAAGATTGATCTGGGGCAAAATCACAGACAGAGGACATGGTAGGGAAAAAACATTGAGAAGTGAGCAGGGAATGAGCTCCTTCTTTCTCATCTGCTTCAACAGGAACACAGGGATTCAGGGAAATACCCAGGAGCCCGCGAGTGGAGGTCATCAGCTCAATCTTGCTCGCAGGGTGGCTGTGGCCAGGGTGCACCGAGTATGAAGGGTGGGGGCGGAGGTGCAGCTCAGACAGGTCACGCCCTTCACTAAGGTCAAGTGGAGTCACCAAAGGGTCCGTGCACTTCCCAACGATCACTGTTCCAGAATGAGAAGGGCTTGTGTTTCCTTGCTCTCAATGGTTTCTTCCATGTGTTGGGAACGTCCAGAATTGGGATGTCAGGATGAGAGATCCTCGCTGAGATGGGTCCCTTGAGCTGAGAGGAACAGCAGCACAGCTTCCTGCTCCTTTGCTGTCCTACTTTGCTCAGCCCAAATCCCATCCCATCCCTGACATGGAGGCTGCAGCTTTATTTACACAATATTAAATGATTTATCCGAACACATGCAGGCCCTGGCCCGTTTTGATAAATACGATTCCTCTGGTGGGTTGTGAAGTCTGCATTTCCTCTCCAAATAATAGCTCTCTTCCGAGTTGGGGAAAAATATCAAGTGCTGCCTTCGGATGATCTTGATCCACGAGCACAGGCGGTTAGCATGTTTTATGAGGAGAACAGGTTTGCTTTTCGAGGATTCAAAGCATCCAATTATATTCAAAAGATAGTAGGGACCCCATAAGTGCCTATGAAGTCTTAAGAAAAACACATTTTGCTTTATGACTAGGGGGAAAATGACCTCAGCTTGGGCAACTTTTAAGCTCGATCACAAATGAACTCATTTTGAACGCAATTCCCGGTTACCTCAGACAGAAAGAAAAATCACAGAGCAYGTTGGAGGTTGGCATACAGTGAATTCAGGAAAGGCTTTACTAACATTTGTTGGTAAAAAACCCAAGTGGTCCTTTTGTAACTCTCCGCAATCCCTCATTCTTTGGAAAGAGGATAGTGAACATTTTCCACAAAGTTTATTTCTAGTGGATCCTCCTATAGGACTCCCCCAGATTTACAACCACATTGGAAATTTCACACCGACAGTCATGTTCTTGCTCTTACTGAAATATTCATGTTCTCTTTACATACTGGAATGGATGTGGAGAGAACCTTGTCAGACCTTTTGCATGTTTGAGGGCTGCTTTTGGCAGAGCAGATATTAAAACTGAAAGGATACAGAGATGCTTACACGGGTCAGGGAGGATGAGGTCACCATTAAATACTGTGCCAGGGTTCCTTTTGCCAGCAAATTCTGGGGTATGTGTGATTTGGAGAAGGCAGGGAAATATTTCTTGTGGCTAGTAACCAAAGTTGAGAAAAGTGGATATTGGGCAGGTTCAGCAAAAATATTCTTGGGTTAAAAAAATTATGCCATAGAAAAACAGGGAAAGTGCTAAGTCAATTTCCTGTACAAGTGACATTAAATACCTTCCTTTGCAATAAAAGCGCTCAGGCAGGTTGACTGTATTTATTAAGCCTGAGAAGGGACAGGGCTGGCTTGCAGGAGCTGGGCCCTGGCCCTGACCCCTGGTTTTCTTTGCATTTTTATCCTTGGACATCATAGAAGGACTTTTTGGTGACAAGAGATACGTGACAGACAGAAACTCTCGTGACTGACTCATCATGCCCTCTTTCAAACCACGACCCCTCACATGTCCGCAGGGTAAGGAAGAATGTCACCAAGGCTATTTTGGACAACAGATGACATTACCCAAAGGCAAATAAACATTCACCTTTGCCTAGAAAAGCAAATCTGGGTGAAGACAAATCTAGAAAAGGAAACCAACCCACATGCAAACAGGAATAGAAAATATTTTTACACTCTTTGCACTTTAGCTGAACAGTGGTGAGGGAGAGAGAGGGTCACCCAGGGGCCTGTCAGCGCAAAAGAATGATTCATGTGACCATTTTGTCTTAATTACTCAGAACAAGCCTCGGTTGCTGTTTATCAAGGGAGAGCTGATACATCAGTGTCCTCGGACAAAAAAAGTGACCGCCGTCAGGATGGTGACGACCACGATGATTCCCAGGAGGACGAGCAGGATGCGGTTCTGGATGATTCTGGGAGAAAGAAAAGAAAAACAACGTGGCAGATGAACGGAGGGCATTCCGACAACCATCAGTCAAAGACCAAGTTGGCTAATGAAACCGCAGCCTCGCAGGTCGGGGGCCGAGTGTGTGTGTGTGTGTGTGTGTGTGTGTGTGTGTGAGAGAGAGAGAGAGAGAGAGAGAGGACAGAGAGAGACAGAGAGAGACAGAGAGAGATCAGGCGGCTTTGGTTCTAGGAACAGCTCCTGAGCGCTTGTCACACGGCACTCTGAGAAACACGGCAAAGTTAACTCGAATCAAATGGCTTTCTAGGCTCCGAGAACCATGTAGTCTCTTTAAGTGATCAAGGGCCCCAGGTGAGCTTCTCTTTTTAATTTAAAATGTGAGACAAGCCTCTTTTTTTTTTTTTTTTTTTTTTTTGGCACTGTTTCTCGTGAAAGGAAGAGATTCCAAGGAAACATATGTCAGTAAGGCACTTACCTGTGCAAAAATACCTGGGGAAAAGGAAAAGAGAGACTTAGCAAGAAAGGACAGGATTAAGAAGCAAGTGTCAAAATTGCAGCTGAGGCTGTGAAACCGGCAGCTGAGGCTGTGAAACAGGCACCTGTCACCGTGGCTCGCGCTCCATGGAGCCAGGAGGAAACCTTACGTCGGCTCCGTAGGGAGCAGAGGCRGAAATGAAAAATCATACAAAGTCCTTGAGGTGCCTGCCGAGTGTCTGTGGGTGGCCCTCACCTCCAGGGATCGTCAGCCGCCTCGGTCTGGCCCTGCTGAGCTGACCTCAGAAGGAGCAGCGAGGACGTGGCTCCCGCAAGCCTGCAGAGAGCTTCYGATGAGGTTGTTTCATAATTTGTTACCTCATTCGGAGAAAAGAGGTCGCACATCAGAATGCTTTGTTGAGACTTTCAAAGGGAACCTAGGTCAACCAGCCTCGCCCACGCTTGCTCGCACAGAGCCACACAGAAATAGAAACCCAGAGTGGCAGCCGTCTAGCGGGCCACCCACCCTGCTTGAAGCCCCACGCCAACGCTGCCCAGCAGTCCCGCAGCTCCAGGGGTGGGAAGGAGGGCTGGGCCTCATTCCAGATGCCGGACACTGGACAAGGGTCCTCTGCAGGGAGGACCGTGGTGGGACCAGGCCAGGCCTCCAACTGAAAGGGACCTACTCTTGCTTTGTGTCATCACAAAGAAATCCTGGCAGGACATCCGCAGTCTTTTCTAGCATCTGGAGGTTTTTCTTGGAAGAAGGATGACCCCAGGTTGGAGCCCGGGCAGGAGTCCTGCTCACCACCCCCTGCCTCCCCACATCTAAACGGATGGATGGAAACTGTCACATCAGAGCGACCTGCTCCCTCGTGGCCCCTAACAGGACCAGCTCCCACTCCTCCTGACAGGTTACAAAATGATCACATTTGCTGACACGTCTTCCGCAAAACTGCCTTAGTACCTCTGTCCGCTTTCCTCGCAGGAGATGAATGGTCTGCTCTGTCCTCATTTATCACGCGGGGCTCGCTAAGATCTGTCTCCCTCATTTCTTCCCTTCCCCACAAGAAAGTCTGCGCCCCGACATTAATTCTTCTGTGATGACAGCTAATTCGGACTTAACAGGCCATGTTTACTCGCGAGGAGGGAAGATTCTCTGTCCCCCAAATAAGTAAATAAAAACAGGGCTCCACGACTTATTGAAGTGAGGCTGATTATGAACACCGATCGGCGCTACTTGGTGGCTTCATTTAAGACTCAAAGTGATTTTTTCCCCCTTTTCTCTGGAAGGGACAGAAGCCTTCAGAACAGTCCCTCCACATTCCATTTGCCGGAGCTGCTGTCAAAATCTCTATTTACCACCGTCACCCGCATCAGACTTGCAAAGGAAATCAGCAAAATTGAAACTCAGCAGTGAAACAGATTAAAAGCATGAAAACTCTTTTTAAATTCTGCCTTAAGTAATATACAGTAGTGTCTCTGGTACGGCTTGGTTGACAACCATTTTATTTGTGGGTTGAGGGCCCCAAGGCATCCATGATGCTAATTTATAAAGGATTAACTGTGGGTGTTACTTGTTTAATCTGAGACATGGTTAGGAACCTGAACACAAAGCAATCCCTAACTTCTCAGCTCCTCCTGGCCTTCCTAATCGGGCTTCTCCTCTGCTTGTGCATCCACAGGGACTGCCGGCTTCCTGTCACCACCCTCTCTGCTGCTTCTGTGGACCTCACCTGCAGAATTCACCTCTGAAGCCTCAGCACACCACACGGTGGTTGATACTCGGGGATTCAAAAGAGAACTGTCCAAAGAATGCTGGTGGAAGGAAGCTGCCCCTGGTGAGCATGATGGTCATTCCAGGGCAGTGGAGAAGGGAGCTGAGCTCGTTCTATACGCAGGAAAATGTAGTGGCGTCTGCATGGAAATGGTGCGACCAGCTCCGCAGATGGGACTGTAACCATGGCGCCTTCTCAGAGACAACTGGGTCTTTTCCCTGAGCCCAGGAGAAGGCCTGGTCCTTAGGACCACAGGCGTGTGCTGCTGAGGAGGTTTCTTCCCAGGGAAAGGATTCCAGATACTGGGGACCAGGGGGACCGAGGGGCAGAGAGAGTTGGAACAGAGAGGGTGGTTAAGGGAGCATGACTGGCCGGTCATCAACCCAGCTTTGGACCTCGAAGGGGCTGGGCCTCTTGAAAGACCAGAAAAGTGAGCTGTGAGGGCACTTGAGAGGACAGATCTGAGCCAGCTTGGAGGGAGGAAGCAAAGGTTGGCAGTGGTGGCCCCATCCATGACGAAGCCCAGAGTAATTACAGCCGTGAGCAAAGCAGAAAGGAACAGTTTGGAGAGAATCTGAAAAACAAGCCAGGAGAGGGGCTCYGGCTAGCGAGATGGAGAAACTTCCTCCTAACTTTGGGCAACGGGGCCTTGATGTTCAACTAGGTCTGCAGCAAGCAGTCTTAATCTCCCTTTTGAAAATGCAAAGTGTGTTTACCCAGTAAATAATTTAAGAAAGAGTATACACTTGAAAGAAGACATCCATTGAAACAGCCAGGCTAAATGCCTCCAGGCAAAAACTTGTGCATTTGCATGCTGCATTCTATTAAGTGAGCACACTGTGGCTTTAAAAGAATGCAGAGCCAAATTAAAAGGAATGTGGGCCCGAAACATCAAAAATTCTCCAAGTTTACATTATGAATCACAGTGCTGTTGATATAAGATGAATTAACCATTTACTTTGAGGCTGAACTCACAAAGTACTATTGAAAATACTGATCCCTGTGTGGAACCCAAGGAGCGGTTAATCTTTCCATTGCCAGTCTCCTCCCCTTCTGGAAAAAGGCTCCTGCGTGTGGCAGCTGGAATCAGAGACTGCTGCTTCAAGCGGAGGTGGCAGGCGMGCCACCTGACACGTTCTCTGCTCGAGGATCCCGATCCCACTGTAGCGGGCGCTCCTCACAGTCCCCAGTCCCCCTCCACTTGAACCAGACGCTGACCTGTTCCTTGGTGCAAGGTGTGGCATGGGACTTGCTTTGGTCAATGAAACGTGGGCAAAAGTGCAGAGCATCACTCTCAGGAGGCACCGGAGTTGTAGGGCTGGGCCCTTCAGTGGCTCCCCCCTTGTATTCTGGTTTCGGGGTGCTGTATGCTCCAGAGAGCGCAGTTGCACGTTGGTGAGATCCCTTTTGCCCAGAATCCCCAGTCTTCACATGCAGGAGCATCAGTGAGACGTGGGGGTTGTTTGTTACTGCAGCATAACATYAACTATCCCAAGTGCTCCTCTCCTCAGACGAGAGGAGCCTCTAGCCAAGCCCGTGAGGCTCTTGGCTAATGTATCCCAGAAGCTAGGTATGATGAGGGTTGACTTTTCTTTCCCTGAAGGATAGGTTTTTGCTTCTCCATTTTCAAAAGCTGGGATCCTTTTCTATCCACTTGGTCACAACATTTCCCACATGAGGTTTTCACAAGCCCCACTGGGCATTCTGCTTCCTGCGGGTGGCAGGTATACACTGACTGCATTCATCTCTTCTCTCTATTCCAAACATCCGATGCCATCCTTGGCTCCTGGACTGGAGCTGCAACCTCCCTAAAAATGGCAGTACACTCCATGCCCCTGGCCACAGCCAATTGGACCAGGAGTAGGCTTGTGACCTAAGCCAGGCCAACAGAGTGAAGCTCAGCATTCCCTTGCTGGGAATGCTAGGTGTCTGGGCAGTTTGGTGTGTGGATGTTAGGTCTGGTTCTGCGGCAGCTATTTTGTTCCCATGAGGGAAGTCAACCTACGAAAGAAGTTGACTCATAGAGGGCAAGAGAAACGGAACTCCATCCCTGAAGACATGGTGACCCTCATGGTAAGACAATGGTAAGCCACCCTTCCTTTGAACTTTGACTCATATGAGAAATTTAATTTCATTTTTTCAAGATTGYTTGATTTGGGTCTTCTATCATTTGTGACCAAAAATCATTTTTAGGTTGAGTCTCCCTAATTCCAAAATCAAGTCTTTTATCTGTGGCATATTTTCCCTACCTTTTCCAAGAACAGCCCAATCCTGACTCTCTCTTATATTGCATCTATCTTACCACTAAGCTAACCCCATGGTGTTATGATTCCTGCTTCTGTAAAGTTTTCCCCAGTAAGAAGTGAATCTTGCATGGGTTGGCATACATATTCTCAAAAAAACAAAAACAAAAACAAAAGCTTGTGTTGGCACCATGGCACATGCCAGTAGATGCCAGTAGTCACACCTATTTGGGAGGCTGAGGCAGGAAGACTGAGGCTAGCTTGGCGACATACAGAGACCTGCTCTATGTGGAAATCGGGAAGGGAGTCTAACTGTCCAGCTGCACACGCTCATCCGGAGGTCACGTAGTCAGCGCTCTCCGGGTTCCTAAGGGCTGCAGGCCCAGTGTCAGGATTTAGCCTCCCTCCCTTCSATTGAATGTTTTAGCTCTTTCACAAGCTGCATCCACTCACTGGAGAGAGCACGTGCTGTATGGTAGCATCCTGTCCTGCAGCTGCCTCTGGCCTGGCTG